ACACACACACCGTGGTGGTCAGTTTTAACTGTCAACTTGAAACAACTAAAATTATTTGAGAAGTGTGTCAGTGAGGAACTGTCTATATTAAGTTGGTCTAAGGAGGCTGTCTATGAGGGATTATCTTAACTGGGTTAAGGTGGTAAAACGCACCCTGAATGTGGGGGATACCATTTCACGGGCTGGGCCCTGGACTGAATGGAAAGACTGAACTGCGCACTGGCACACATGCGTTAATTCACTGTTCTCTGCTCTTCTGTGGATTTGTTTGATTTATTTTTTGAAACAGGGTCTCGCTATGTAGCTCTGGTTGGCCTGGAACTCAATACCTAGACTAAGCTGGCCTTGAACACACAGAGATCCACCTGCCTCTGCTTCCCAAGTGCTGGTCTTAAAGGTGTGTGCCACCATGCCTGGCCTTGACTGTTGATATAATGTGACCAACTGCTTCAAGTTCCCACCACCTCAACTTCTCCACAACCCACAATGACAGACCACAGCCTGGGGCTCTGAGCCAAATAAATCCTTTCTCCTTTAGTTGTTTTGGTCAGGATGCTGTATCACAGCAACAGGAAAATGAGATTAAAATATATACCCCTGCACATACATACATGTACACACACAAGACATCATAAAAGGCTGACAGGAGTTATATTTTAAAGTGCACATTCTGGGGCTGGAGAGATGGCTCAGCAGTTAAGAGCACTGGCTACTCTTGCAGAAGACCTGGGTTTGAATCCCAGCACCCACATGGTGGCTAACAATTTTCCTTAACTCCAGTTCCAGTGGATCCAACGCCCTCTTCTGGCCTCCCCGGGCACTGCACAACACGGATGCACTTACATACAGGCAGGCATAACACTCATACACAATCATAAAAAAATAAAATCCACATTTCTAGAGATCTTAAAATGCACTCTCCACAATTCACTGCATAGAAACCACCACACACACCCACTAAGGTGCTGGGAAACAGGGCCTGTCCCCAGAAGCCAAGAAGCAACCCCAAAGTCCTGCCAGTGCTCTGGCCAGTCCTGATGGTTGCCCTGCTGGGGTCTACAGAACACATGAGCTTCATTCTTGAAGCCCAGAGGGAAAGTTCATGGTCTACTGAGCAAAACACTGTGAGGTGCAGAATAAGCATAATGGACCCAGAGTTCCTGCTCTCTTCCAGAGCAGCACTCTGGGCCTGTAATTATGATCTTGATACCTATTTGATAAAACACAGGTGCAGGTCTACGTGCAGTCCACCCCACCTCCCAGGTTTGAGAGCTGGGGTCCTTGGGAAAGGGCAGAAGCTGATGTGAAGCATTCCAGGGAGGCCAGTACGAGTGCTGCAGCTCAACGTGCAGTTAGGGGTATGGCCCCAGAAGGCTGAACACGGCCACATGTAGCTAGGCCTCCTGGCATTTGTGCTGAGAGGCACTGGTCAAGAGAGGGTGGATCTAGATTCCCATTCTCTCTCTGTCTGTCTCTCTTTCCCCCACTTCCTCTCTCCATCCCTCTCCCTCCCTGCCTCTCTCCCTCTCTCTCCACTTCCCTCCCCCCCTCCACTTCCCTCCCTCCCCCTCCATCTCCCTCC